CGAGAAGAGAAGAGAAGAGAAGAGAAGAGAAGAGAAGAGAAGAGAAGAGAAGAGAAGAGAAGAGAAGAGAAGAGAAGAGAAGAGAAGAGAAGAGAAGAGAAGAGAAGAGAAGAGAAGAGAAGAGAAGAGAAGAGAAGAGAAGAGAAGAGAATAGAAGAGAAGAGAAGAGAAGAGAAGAGAAGAGAAGAGAAGAGAAGAGAAGAGAAGAGAAGAGAAGAGAAGAGAAGAGAAGAGAAGAGAAGAGAAGAGAAGAGAAGAGAAGAGAAGAGAAGAGAAGAGAAGAGAAGAGAAGAGAAGAGAAGAGACGAGAAGAGACGAGATGAGAAGATAAGAGAAAAGAAGAGACGAGAGGAGAAGAGACGAGAAGAAAAGAGAAGAGATGAGAAGAGATGAGAAGAGAAGAGAAGAGAAGAGAAGAGAAGCGAAGAGAAGCGAATAGAAAAGAAGAGAAGAGAAGAGGAGAGCAGAGAAGAGACGAGAAGAGAGAAGAAAAGAAGATCAGAGCAGAAAAGAGAAGAGAAGATAAAAGAAGGGGTGATAACATAAGAGAAGAGAAGAGAAGAGGAGAGGAGAGGAGAGAAGAGGAGAGAAGCGAAGCGAAGCGAAGCGAAGCGAAGCGAGGGGAAGCGAAGAGAAGAGACGAGAAGAGAAGAGAAGAGATGAGAAGAGAAGAGAAGAGAAGAGAAGAGAAGAGAAGAGAAGAGAAGAGAAGAGAAGAGAAGAGAAGAGAAGAGAAGAGAAGAGAAGAGAAGAGAAGAGAAGAGAAGAGAAGAGAAGAGAAGAGAAGAGAAGAGAAGAGAAGAGAAGAGAAGAGAAGAGAAGAGAAGAGAAGAGAAGAGAAGAGAAGAGAAGAGAAGGAGAAGAGAAGAGAAGAGAAGAGAAGAGAAGAGAAGCGAAGCGAAGCGAAGAGAAAAGAGAAGAGAAGAGGAAAGAGAAGAGAAGAGAAGAGAAGAGAAGAGAAGAGAAGAGAAGAGAAGAGAAGAGACGAGAAGAGAAGAGAAGAGAAGAGAAGAGAAAGAAGAGAAGAGAAAGAGAAGAAAGAGAAGAGAGAGAAGAGAAGAGAAGAGAGAGAAGAGAGTGACTTTTTGAGAAGAGAGAGAAGAGAAGATGAAGAATAGAAGAGAAGAAGACGAAGAGAGGAGAGGAGAGGAGAGGAGAAGGAGAGGACAGGAGAGAGAGGAGAGAGAGGAGAGGAGAGAGAAGAGAAGAGAAAGAGAAGAGCCCAAGAAGAGAGAAGAGAAGAGAAAGGAAGAGAAGAGAAGAGAAAGAGAAAGAGAAGAGAAGAGAAGAGTAAGAGGAAGAGAAAGAGAAGAGAAGAGGCGAGTACGAGAAGAGGACGAGAGATGCGAAGAGACGAGAAGAGAAGAGAAGAGAAGAGAAGAGAAGAGAAGAGAATAGACGAGACGAGAAGAGAAGAGAAGAGAAGAGAAGATAATAGACGAGACGAGAAGAGAAGAGAACAGAAGAGAAGAGAAGAGAAGAGAAGATAATAGACGAGACGAGAAGAGAAGAGAAGAGAAGAGAAGAGAAGAGAAGAGAAGAGAAGAGAAGAGAAGAGAAGAGAAGAGAAGAGAAGAGAAGAGGAGAGGAGAGAAGAAAAGAGAAGAGAAGAGAAGAGAAGAGGAGGGAAGGGAAGAGGAGAGGACAGGAGAGAAGGGAAAGGAAGGGAAGAGAAGATGAAAAGAAGAGAAGAAAAGCGAAGAGAAGAGAAGAGGAGAAGAGAAGAGAAGAGAAGAGAAGAGAAGAGAGAAGACAAGACAAGACAAGACAAGACAAGACAAGACAAGACAAGACAAGACAAGACAAGACAAGACAAGACAAGACAAGACAAGACAAGACAAGACAAGACAAGACAAGACAAGACAAGACAAGACAAGACAAGACAAGACAAGACAAGACAAGACAAGACAAGACAAGACAAGACAAGACAAGACAAGACAAGACAAGACAAGACAAGACAAGACAAGACAAGACAAGACAAGACAAGACAAGACAAGACAAGACAAGACAAGACAAGACAAGACAAGACAAGACAAGAAAGAGAAGAGAAGAGAAGAGAAGAGAAGAGAAGAGAAGAGAAGAGAAGAGAAGAGAAGAGAAGAGAAGAGAAGAGAAGAGAAGAGAAGAGACGAGAAGAGAAGAGAAGAGAAGGGAAGGGAAGGGAAGAGAAGAGAAGAGGAAAGGAGAGGAGAGGAGAGGAGAGGAGAGAACAGAGGAGAGGAGAGCAGGGGAGAGGAGAGGAGACGAACGGAGAGGATGGGCTAGGAAAGGAGAGGAGAAGAGAAGAGAAGAGAGCAGAAGAGAAGAGAAGAGACGAGAATAAAAAGAGAACAAAGAGGAGAGGAGAGAAGAGAAGGAAAGCGAGGCAAAGCGGAAAGAAAAGAAGAGAAGAGAAGAGCAGAGCAAAGCAGGGCGGAGAACACACGAGAAGAGAAGAGAAGGGAAGGGAAGGAAAGGGAAGCGAAGGAAAGCGACGAAAAGCGAAGAGGAGAGAGAAGCGAGGAAAAGAGAATAGGAGAGAAGAGGAGAGGGGGAGAAGAGAAGAGGAGAGGACAGAATAGCCGAAGAGCAGGAGAAAAGAGAAGAATAGAGAAGAGCAGAGAAGAGAAGAGAAGAGAAGAGAAGGGAAGGGAAGGGAAGCAAAGCAAAGAAAAGAGAAGAGGAGAGACGAGAAAGAAGGGGAAGAGAAGGGAAGCAACGAAAAGAGATGAGAAGAGAAGAGACGAGAAGAGACGAGAAGAGACGAGAAGAGACGAGAAGAGACGAGAAGAGAAGAGAAGAGAAGACGAGAGGAGAGGAGAGGAGAGACTGTAAAAGGAAAGGAGAGGGGAGGATAGGAGAGAAGATAAGAGGAGAGGAGAGAAGAGAAGAAAGGAGAACAGAAGAGAAGAAAAACGGAGGGAAGCCGAGAGGAGATAAGGAGAGAAGAGAAGACGAAGAAAAAAAAAAAAAAAAAAAAAAAAAAAAAAGATGATACGAGAGAAGGACAGAAGAGCAGAGCAGAGAAGAGAAGAGAAGAGAAGAGGTAAGAAGAGATTAGAAGAGAAGAAACGAGAAGAGAATCCACAAATCATAGAGGGGAGGAGAGGAGAAGAGAAGGGAAGAGACGAGAGGAGAAGAAAAGAGAAAAGAACATAATAAAAAAAGAGACGAGAAGAGAAGAGAAGCGAAGAGAAGAGAAGGGAAGGGAAGGGAAGGGAAGGGAGGGAAGGAAGGGAAGGAAGAGAAGGGAGAAGAGAAAGAAGAGAAGAGGAAGAGAGAAGAGAAGAGGAAAGAGAAGAGGAAAGAAGAGAAGAGAAGAGAGAGAAGAGAACAGAGAAGAGAAGAGAAGAGAAGAAGAAGAGAAGAGAAGCAGGAGAAGAGAAGAGAAGAGGGAAAAGAGAAGAGAAGAGAAGCAGAAGAGAAGAGAGAGAAGAGAAGAGAAGAGAAGAAAGAAGAGAAGAGCAAGGAGAAGAGAAGGAAAGAGAAGAGGAGGAGAGCGAAGAAAGAGAAGAGAGAAAGAGAAGAGAAAGAGGAGGAGAAGCGAGAGAAGAGAAGGAGAAGAGAAGAAGAAGAAGAGAAGAGAAGAAGAAAGAGAAGGAAGAGAAGAGGAAGAGAAGAGAAGAGAGAGAAGAGAAGAGGAAGAGAGAAGAGAAGAGAAGAGAAGAGGGAGAGAAAAGAGAAGAGAAGAGAAGAGAAGGGAAGAGAAGAGACGAGAAGAGAAGAGAAGGGAAGAGAAGAGAACCGAAAAGAACAAGGGAGAGGGGACGAGAGAAGAGAGGACAAAAGAGTAGAGGGGAAGAGACGATAGGAGAACAGAGGGGACGCCAAGAGAAGACGAGAAGCGAAGGGAAAAGAAAAAGAAGAGACGGGAAGAGGAGAGAAAAACCTACAAGAGAAGAGAAGAAAAGACAAGAGAAGTGAAGGGAAGCGAAGGAAAGCGAAGAAATGCGCAGATAAAAGAAAAAGAAGAGACGAGAAGGGAAGGGACGAGAAGAGAAGAGAAGAGACGAGAATCGGAGGGGAGGTGAGAGAAGCGAAGAGAACAGAGAGAAGAGAAGAAGAGAAGAGAAGAGAAGAGAAGAGAAGAGAAGAGAAGAGAAGAGAAGAGAAGAGAAGAGAAGAGAAGAGAAGAGAAGAGAAGAGAAGAGAAGAGAAGAGAAGAGAAGAGAAGAGAAGAGAAGAGAAGAGAAGAGAAGAGAAGATAAGAGAAGAGAAGAGAAGAGAAGAGAAGAGAAGAGAAGAGAAGAGAAGAGAAGAGAAGATAAGAGAAGAGAAGAGAAGAG